GGATGGGAGGGCGCGTGCCCGCCCGAGCGAACATCCAGTACAGCGAGGGTTCATGGCCGGAGCTCCAAAGCAAGACAGAATTCCGTCCTGCAATCAGGCCACAACAGTGAGCATCACGACTACAGCAACCACATATGAGATGATTAAAGTCTTGGCTAACCAGGCTATCACGTCACTGCCAAAGACCTCAGTTGAGTAAGATATTCACTTCACCAAGCTACCGATTTAAAAGGGGAATGGTTGAAACGACGTGTCTGATTTCGGTAGTAAAGTAAATTACAGTTCGGGTACTCACCATGTACCCGACGACGCAACCATAAACTACAACTTTTTCATGTCAGACGGTCAAGTCGCGCAGGTTTCAATACACGGAGAGTTCGAGAGATCTCCATTTGCGTAAAAGAGCCATTCGGCCTTTAACGTACAGAAGGGTTAATAGGATGACAGGGAATGAGGACGGCATAATTGGAATGGTCATAAAACCAAAATTGGTTGGACTACGCCGAAGTTGCTTCAGTGTCTCCACAGGCGGAGGTCGGCAATCCCAACCGACCAAAAGAAACGGAGCAGACATTTCAGACCCAGCAGAGATGATTGCCACGATAAGAAGGGATGCGAGAGCGCGCTCGCGCCCACCCATCCGTCCGAGCGAACTTCCAGTACACGTTCAAAAGGCGCTGGTTGTGGCTAATTTGGCAAGAGCCACTGCTCCCGCCGCCGACCGGCCAGCCGGCCGTCTGTGCGTGATGAAAGAGGATTAACAAAGAAGAAGCTGTCTTGTGTGCAGGGGTAGCACACGCCCACCACAGAGGCGGAGAAAGTAAGAAGAGACGAAAGTAGGGGGGGGAGGCAGAAGGAAGCGAGCAACTGACACGGTTCGCTGGCTAGAGTTAATTAAGGCGGGCCTTGGAGAGGCACAAACAGGGGGATGAGCACGGCTCACGGCCGGCCGGCCGACCGGCAAACAGACTTGATGGACAGGCAGTAAATGGTCGGATGAGG